TGGGATTTTAAAAGTTCCTTTCTTGATGGGGAGTGTTGTTGCTTTGTATTGGGGACTTTGATGGGGCTGCTACTCTTTGTGTTGCTCTATGTTGCTTTGTGTTGAGGACTCTGATGTTGCTTTGTATTGAGGACTCTTATGTTCTTTGTGTTGTTGCTTTGTATGGGATTTTAAAACCAGATTTGTCGTGTTTCCGTATAGCCTAAGGTTATGGCTAGGCTTTGTATGGGATTTTAAAACCAGATTTGTCGTGTTTCAGTATAGCCTAATGTTATGGCTAGGTTGCAACTCTTTTGGCAGGGCCATTAAGTCTTAGTGCTTGAATTCCAGTAAATTGCTTTGTTTTGGTGTAAGAATAATGGAATATGACTAGATAAAAATTAATACAATTCAATTTCCTCATAGCAGACAATTCATCTCTGTAAATTTCATTTGTGTATTGTCTGTTGGAGTTGGGCTGTGCATCACTGTCTTGTGTGTAGTTATTATTGAATTGATTCAAATGAGCCTGATCTGATGTTACCATTTCATAACAATATATATAAAGGTTAGAAATAGAAACATGAATTTACAACTACAGAAAGGTTGAAGCAGCAAGTTGCAAATATTTGGTGCAATATGGATATCCATTACAGTAATATGAATTATGAAATAATATATTATTTATTTATTTATTCAAAGCTTGTCACATGCCCCCAAATATAAAATACTTATCAATCCAGGTCAATTTTGTTTCAAGAAAGATGCAACCTCTGTTTTGAATGGAAAACTCTCAAACTTTGATAGTGGAAACCTCCCAAACTTCATAGTATTGATGATGATAGCCAAATTCAATTGGATGAGACCGATTATTTTTAAATTTTGACTTTTTACCTTAAACATTATGAGTTTGGGTTGTTTTTATGTACTCATATTTGAATGTTATTGTTTAGATTTAATGTCTATGTTTATGATTTAAGACAATTTCAATTATTTATTTACTTGTATGGTTATATATACTATTATGTTTGGCATTATAAGTGAACTGCTCGAATAGCTTACGCAATGCGCTACGCTATTTACGCTACGCAATATAAAGACCAAAACGCGACGCGATGCGCGATGCGCGTTTTAAAACACTGAATATATATAGGGGGCTAGCATTTTAACTTTGTAATATGACATTAAAAAAAGAAAAAAGAATAAACAATGCATTTGGTGAGTGGTGTGAAATTAATACTCTTTGGTAATTCGGTCGAAGTGAATATTTGAATCGGTTTTGTTTTTAATCGAATCATAGGATCAACTTATTGGTTGTTTGATTTAAATTTTAATAGAATCAATACTCTTTTGATTTAGCTTATATGTTTGTCCCGTTTTGTTCTGGTCCCAAACGATACCAATTCATTTAGGACGGTGCCTCATCCGAGACAGTTCTCAAATCGCTTTATACGAGTGAATCGGTACCAGGTCAAATCAAATCTTGGACCAAAATAGATATAGGAGAGATAGGCAAGGGTTTGGGTCTCTGCATAGTTTGGCATAAAAAAATTCAGATCCAGAAACTATACGGCTCCCAATACACAGAGAAAACCAGCAGGAAGGGTTCTGCAATCTAAGACCCTACTCCCGTTTTCAATTCTAACGACGCCTTCGTAAGTGTGCGTGTACGATTGATTTTTTTTTGCTTTGTCAATGTGTGTGTTGAAGGTTATGGGGTCTCAATTTATGTTCCTGTGCAGGTACAGAGCAAGATAGTAATGGGGTCTCAATTTGATGTCGAATGGGCATTAGAATGTATCCGGCAGCCGCAAATGGATGAACTGAGTGATGAATCATCAAGACGGCATGCGATGAGAGATCTCAATACCCAGTTTGGGAGGTCTCTTACTGCTTATATCTTTTCACTCACTCATTCGTATTATTATTATTATTATTATTATTATTATTATTATTATTATTATTATTATTATTATTATTATTATTATTATTATTATTAAGTATTAATGCTTGGAGACTGATTTTGCTAGTTATTTGAGTTTCTCGAGTTAGCTGTAGTGATTGTGTGCTTCGTTCTGGGGTGGACTGCATAACTTTTGGTTCAAATTACTGAACTGTGGCCATCAATTATGTGTAATGCTTGTACTTTGTGTTGGCCCCAGCTTATCTTAGATGGATGAAATTGTTTGTAGCAGGGTAGAGTTGCGAACATTGAAATTTTCTGTGCTGGGTTGACCTCAGTAATTTGACACTGTCATGCTTGAGTGGGCAAAAAGTTTCCTGTTCCTAAGATCGTGTCTTTATGTTTAACTGGAATGTTGTTTGCAATACCACAAGTTTGAAAGTTAGATACTATAAAATCTGAGGTTTATTTGTATCAGTTCATGTTCTTTGCTTGCTTTCTCTGCTATGTTATGTGTCATAGATTGGAAATTTGTGAGTACTCTGATTTATATCCATGCCCGAAATGTGCTGTAGTAGCGTAGTGGACTTCTTCTATTTCCTTTCTGACATGGTTTAGATTTGTTTGGTAATGTTGTGCATTCTTACATGATCAGTTGGATACAAAGTCAATTACAAAACCATCCAGATGAGCTTTGGGAGGATGGAGTGCAGGATTTCTTAAACCGTGCTAAAGACGTCATGGTAATTTCTCAGTATCTGCATTTTACTCACTATCTCTACGTCATCTAGTGCGCCATTCGGCTGTGATGAATTCATCCTGGGGGTTCATTTCTATGGTTTTTAGTTGTTATATGGGAATATTTTGTGATTACAAGGATGTCGACCTGACATTATTTGGTGAACTTTTTTGTTTATGTAAGTACTTGGCAATCTCATTATCCTTCGGCCATTTTGTTTTGGGGTAAAAGAGCATGCGGCAGACATTTATTGTCACTCTTGGCCAGCATTTGGTGCTATTCATATTAAACATATATTTTTCACAAAAAACTCTTGTAAAGTATGTTGTTGGAATTTTAAACAAACATTATTAAATTTAACTATTAGTACTGCTAGACGCCATAAAAATACTGACCGTGCAATCCTTATAGGATTGTATTATCCGATGTGAAACCTTTAGGGGATGCTTATATATAATTCTTTTTTTGGTTTTGATTGGATATTTGCGTTTAGCATGGTTAATTTTGGAAAAAGTGGAATGGTTAGTTGTCAGTGTAATTTTGAGTTTATATTAGAATAATATTTAAAATAAAATAATCAAAGTTGATTTGATGTAAAAGTAGGAGGATGTGATATGAAGTGATGGTTAGTTAAACTTATGTGAGTGGATAAATAGTGAATTAAGGTTGATGTAATATGTAAGAATGATTGATTAATATTATTTAATTATATTGATAATAGTGAGGATAGTGGAGTCGAGTTAAAGTTGAGATAGATTTGAGTTAAAATGAGTGATTGGTTAAAAATGATTGGATATTTTTTATATAAATTTGTATCCAACTATCCCCTTAAAATCACTACCACTATTTGTTGAGTAGTTTCTGAAAGTGGCTCCGTCAGTTATTCATGTGTTATCAAATGATTGATTATATGAGAGGTGTATAATGCTTTCTACTGGAAGTGCGAAGGTTCACCGCATGTAGTGGCCTGAGTAAAATCTCTCTCTCTCTCTCTCTCTATATATATATATATATATATATATCTCATCCTCTCTGTATCCAACCTCTATCTAGGAGCAGATTTTTAGATTAATAAATTAATCATTATTCTATTTGGCATCCCTTTCACTGATACATCCTAATGAGTGAGGAGACAAATTTTGAGGACTTAAATTTTTCGGTGCAAAAGTAACGTTCTGTAGTTTACTGTTAATGTACAAAATTGTTGTCTTCAATTGTAGGAGATTTTTGGTGAGGTTGTTAATCCGTTGAGAACAAATGTCGTGGAACGAGGGGGTACAACCAATATTCCATCTGAAGATGCTCAGACAGCGCCTCTATTCGGAACTGACAAAAGCAGTCACGCATTGTTTCCAGACAAACCTGGTCTGACATTGTTTTCGTACAAACCTATGTTTCCTGCAGCCACAACAGCAAGCTCTGGAACCCCATGGAGACCTGCACTTCTCTTTAATAATGATAGCCCTTTCACATTTGGAGGTATTATTTCAATTTAATTGATGGAATGTATTTATATATATATATATATATATATATATATATATTTATATTCACTATGTAGCTTGTATCTATTGCATGCAATAAATATTCATTACAAGATTTGATTTATGTGTTTGCAAGTTATTCAAGTATGAATATGTTCCCAATTAGAATATTTACAGAGGAGCTACCATAGTCGCTCTAATTCATAATATCCTAAGTCTCTTTTTTTTTCTCATTAGTTCGCTCTAATTCATGATATCTTAAGTCTCTTTTTGTATCATTAGTCCCACTGCATACTGGGTTCATTAGTCCCACTGCATACTGGGTTCCCATATGTGGGTGAGCTTCTTTCCATCCAATAAAAGAATTCTGTACTGGTTTTTTATCAATAAATGATGTTAGTTCAGTTAGAGTGTACTTAAATTCTATACTTTGGTTCTTTACCCTTTATAATTGACGATGTGTTTAAAAACTGTGATCATCTTGCTTGATTTTGGATACTGTTTGTGCTCATGGTCTCCAGTAAGCGAGGTGGTCTCAGTTCCTGGAATTGGAAATGCCAATTCTGTTACTTCAAATGGACCTGATGGAGGTAAGGGGTGATAATGTCTTTATGATTAAATGATCGTCAATAAAGCTGTTAATTCTCTGGTTAATCTATCACTGCTTATGTCCACTTTATGATCATCCGTATTATAAGGTTTGAATGCTTGTTGCGTTTTTAATCAAGTTATCATTTGCTTGCATTTTCGTGTGAAATCAATTTCAAGAGCTCAATGCCTAGAATGACCTCAGATTGTGAGTTTAGGATGGAGATTCCTTGTAGAATGACCCGAAAAATTGAAGTGGTTCACCAATCTTAACAAGGACTTATTTAATGTGCATAATACTTTGTAGAGAGCCAAAGCATCAGGGTAACAAAGACGATGGTGACGGACCCTTCTCTCGACGACGACAGGTGGGGATTGTTTGTAATGTACAAGCGCAAGTTTTGGTTCGAAGAGAACGATTATGACGTCCCTGAATCCTATTTCTACCAGACCGGCGAGAAGATTCAGCCCAATACCATCGAGCTGGTCAAGAGATTCCTCAAACAAGTCCGTGAATCCAGGGTATTTATCCCTAAAATCCTTCTCTTTCTCTGTCCCCGTACTGTTCTACTGGTTGTGGGGATTTCTTTTTTGTTTTTGGTTAAAATCCGATTGTTTATAAATAGGGTTTTGCTCGCCTAATAGATCCTGTTTTTTAATCCTTAATTTAATGTGTTTGTGGCGCTCTGATTTGCTGCATCTGGCTTATATACTCGTTAATTTTCTTTAATTATATATTTTATGTTGGTTTGTCTTATTTAGTTTTGTTTTGTTGTTTGTTTTCTCAAATCAGGTTTATGCTTTGTTTGCTATGTTGTACATGGATGTGTGTGTAATAGCTGTTAGCGGATGCAGAATTTGAGAGTTGATGTAAAAGGATTTTTAACTATAGCAGTATTGCTTCTGATTGTCATTTGTTACTTATATTTGATTGTTAATTCTAGTGTATTTTATTAGTCAACAAGCATCAACACTATTTGCAGGGCTCTGTTGTTTGATTGAAATGGATGATGAGCTGCTTCTGATTTTTGTAGGGTTATGACGTGGATTGCTGCCCACCTCGAATGTTTGAATCTCCATTCACACCACTTCCACTGGAAGAGATGCGCCAGGGTACAAGAGATAGTGATAAATTCGGGTATGCTACAGTGGTCGAAGCAGCTGAGTGTGCGATTCAGAAAATCAGAGAAGAGACTGTGCGTTTCTGATCTGTCCTTAATATATTTTGCTTTGTAATGTTATCACCTCAAATCATGACGTCATACTAGCCTTATTTTGCTTATTTTTTATTGTCTACTAAAAATCCAAATTACAACAACAGGGTCACAGTTACAAGCTTGTGAAAGTCGAGAAGGCTGTCCTGACCAGGGCCTTGGTGTTATTCTTGACTTTGACTGCCGAGGAAGATGCTGGCCCTGTGCAAACTATTCAAGCCGCGGTCTACCACCCCCTTGGTGGCAATCCAGTCCTTGAAGAGTGGAGGTTCAAACCACTCCCTGCTCATTGACATTGTTGTCAACTTTAAGGTTTAGTTGTAGTTGTCCATGTCTCCCTACCGTGACCTATCCCTATGCTTATATAATATATGAATGTTCGTAGTATTGTGAAGATCTATTATGTTAGTTATCCATGAATTTAGACTTGACTTGAGACTTACATGGCTATTTGTTATCAGTTACTGGTAGCTAATGCATGTGATGGAGCTGTCACTTTATTATTCTCTTGTTTGTTTCTTTTCTCTGAATCTGTTGAATAATTTTGTTATTACTTATTACGGTCTTCTCAAGGAATTGCTTCCTTAATCGTTTTATGATGACGACATAAGGACAATATATGGGGGAACTCAACCTTACTGCACCTGGTATAAATTTTGTTGGTAACACTTCCATTTTAAAACCATTTGTTTTTACACAAGACAATTATGATATATTTCAATCTTGACAGAATATTTATGTAGGCATTGTATCTCAAACCAAGTTAGTTATCTTGTAAAAAATGCCTCTTATATTTTATACATACAATATGGATGTTAAATCGAAGTTCATCAAAAGAAGATTAATTTGATATATTACATGTGTAAAACTGATAAAAATAAAAAAGTTATTAACTTTTAAAATATATATATAATTCGATAGTTATAATAAGGAATTATATTAAAATGCAATTAATACATGTAACATGATCATACATAATCAACATATTTATGGGGGATAACGAAGCATGTAATTTTGTCACATAGGATTCCGAAGCACCAGAAGCAGTCACGTAAGCTCAGCGCATTCTGAATTAATATATATGGGGGATAATTGGATAACAAAAACAATATTATTATTATTATTATTATTATTATTATTATTATTATTATTATTATTATTATTATTATTTTAACGGTATTCAGTACTTTTGATGTTCTACTACAGAGTACAAACTGTTTTTCTAACATCATTAACAAACACCATCATAGGATTTGTGAGCATCTTTACCCAGTCAGTAACTAAACTAGTCAGCAAATTTCATCTACATTGTTAATACAAAATAAGGCTCATCTTTTCATCAAAAGAACTCCACAAAAGCTGATAATCAGTAACCTCATCTTTCTTTTTGGCACAATAGAGCAAACCGAGTAAAGGGACGATCATACTTCATTTTCCGTTGACTCATGAACTCATTGACGTAATCGTTAAAGACAGCTCAATAAGAAACGAATGACAAAAAAAAATCAACAAACGAATTGAATAAAATTGTCAGCAACATATGAATTCAACCTACCATGGTGAGTAATGGATCGAGCGTCTTACTCAATCCATTGAAGTCGTGTTTATTCTTTTTTGTCCGGTGATCTTGCTTGCTACATCCTCCAAGGGACAATGCTGATGAAAAAGTAATTAATGGTAATTTAAGCTCAAGAAAGAAACCGTCAAACAAAATATTTAAATTAGCATCAACGTTGTAAATTATACATTTTGTAATCAGTCGCCAAAAAAACCTTTTTCTCATTGATCGGGCATACGTTAGGAACGAGCGTCAGCTGCAGGATACAAGTCGTCAATCGGCAATTGTTTTACAAACTAGCATTATCATAATTAATATTATAAACCGAGTACAAGCATTGCGTTTGCCTGATTCTGTACTACTCATGAGTAGTCAAGTCTAGAAGAAAACTCACCGAGACAAGTTTTCTTCTAGATTTGATGACCGCGCGTCGCGACGCGGCAAATTTAAATTTATAAAGTTTCCTTAACAAACCTCTACTAACTAGTAGTAGCGGCGAGTAAGGGTCGATCCCACGAGGAGCAGGAACTAAGTCGTGACAATTTTCGTATAAATTGAACTAAACTACGAAAGCAATAAAATGGGGGGATTTGTTTATAAAACTAAAACTAAAAATAATAAAATAAAAATCAAATAAGAGAAGTCCAGTTTTCGGTTCAGTTATCACCCAATCTAAATTTATCTTTAACCAATTTCGACGCCTTCTTTAAGTTGCTAATGAATTACCGACCCTAGCTAACAACAAGCTCTGTTAACCGAATTTTCCCTTACATAATATTTAATCGAAATAGGCTCTTCGACTAAACCTAACTATTGGACAACCTAGAATAAGCTCTCTAGATTTAATACACTAGCAGCATTAATTACTAGGAAAATAGATCAGTCTAAGCAATGGACGCGTAAGCTCGGACCATTTAACTTATGTTCACGCTACCCTAAGGATGCACGACCCCTAGTTTACTACTAACGAAACAAGACAATAACAATTACGGATTAAAGTCTCGTATCTAGCAGTTAAACTATGAATATTTAACGTAGTTGGCCAGACTAAATCAAACACCATAATTCATAAACATTATAAACAGATAACATGAATCAACTCATCAACCGAAATAAATACGGGCGTCTCAATTAACTAACGATAAAAATAAATCCTTCAATCCATAGACAAATCAAAGTTAGGGTTCAAACATCCCCTTAAACTGGATAAAAATCTAGCCTAACATACTAATAAAAATAAATAAAAAGATAAAAGAGAGAAAACAAATATCTCTCTCGTGTACGGGTGCGGCTTCCCTCCGCGTGTGTAGTCTTCTCTCCTGTCCGTGCGTGAGTTCTCTTTTTTTTTTTTTTCTGTTCTCTCCAGTAAAAATAATATCCCCCTCTGCCGATAATTCTCCTAAGTATATGTCCAGCCAATCAATTTACTAACACCCAAAGTCCTTTAGAAATCAACTACTCTCAACTGTGGGTCCGTAGAAAATATGAAACCAAATCAATAGCCTTAAACTCCTTTTACTCACGTATTCCACTTTCAACATTCATTCATGAACAATTGGGCTTTATTCCCATCCGACCCACATCAAATTTAGGGATTTTGGGCTTTGATTAATACTGTATTGGATCGCCTTGAATAGTGCTCATGTGAACTCTCGTCCGTTGTTTCACGTACACAAAATACTGCAATGAGCTGAAAATAAACATAAAACTATCAATGTATATGAATTCATCCAAATAATAAATAAGTCGAAAAATATAAATGTGCGAATAAATAAAACATATAAGAATGCATTATTAAATATATAAAACATACACATTTTCCGACCTATCAAATCTCCCCAAACTTAAACCGTTGCTTGTCCCCAAGCAACTTAGAACTATAAGCACATAGATGGATATATACA